CTTTCTGTATACCAGAGAATAAACTGATCGCCTGAAAAGTAAACAACACATGAAAAACAGTCTCACTATATCTCTTCGTAGTGCTAGGCTGTCATCATGTATTCTCAGGGCAGTACATGTAGAACACCCACAGATTCAAAACAACTACGAGTTAAGGCCACCTGTAGCTATGGTTACCACATTACCACACTATATAGATCATGTACGGATAACGAGGAAGCGGTCCAGGAAGTAAACAAGGAAAAATACGTTTAACTGTGTTGTAAACACCGCAAACATTAACGACCACTCACACAGGAAGCTCAGAGTGATTGGATTGGCTCAGGACATCCAGGGGGTCGCCACGGCAGCCAGCAGGCTGTAGATTTATAGGAAGTAACTGGTTGTTTACATCATTCACATTAGTCAACAGCTCGATCAAATATCAGTCAAAAATGAAATGGTGAAAGAGCTAGACACGGACACTGAGAAATTAACAGACGGGTTGATTTTGACTATGTCTCCTTCAGCTCTTTCACTTCTGCTGATCATGCAGAATGGTACCCAGCCTTTCCTAATGGTACCCAGCCTGAGTCAGCCAAACTAGCATCAGCTTTAATCATGTACAGCACCTGATAGACTACCACACCATCACTGCTTAAATCATGAAATAGAGCACACTTTTAAAAAATGTCAGCACTCTATTAATTGAGCCACAAAAAAACACGGGACACCTTGGGATAGGAATCTCCATGATTGGCTGTATAGAGCAGCCATCTTTCAAATTCAGTTCACCAGTCCAATAGCGCAGACTGAGAGGATAGAGAGCTAATGAAGCAATTGGTCCCAGACCCATCATTTCCAGCCACAGCCACAGCCATCAGCATGGCCCATATGGCAGGTAGCCTAGCAGTTCAGAGCATTGTCGAATCCCCGAGCTGACTAGGTGAAAGATCTGTCTATGTGCCCCCTGAGCAAGGCACTTAACACTAAATGCTCCTCTAAGTCGCTCTGGATAACAGCGTCTGCTAAATGACTAAAATGTCAACTGTAATAACCAATCTGAAGTGTTTTAGGGTGTGTGTCAGAATCCTGATTAGCCACCCTGGGTTGAGATTACAGTTGCATAAATTCACAGCAGCGAGAGGAAGAGCGAGAGAGGGACCCAGACTATCTATAATGAATTGAGAGAGAGAGAGAGACACGGACCGTGTCAATAATGAATTGAATGGTGGTAGAAAATAAACTAAGATAGAGACCGTGGGCACCCCCCGGGGGATCCTGAAGGCTATAGGCACTTAACTGGTCTCACCAGCCTACTGTACTACAGACCTTTCAAATACTTTCAAATACTTTAAGAATTTGCTTTACTTCATGTTTTGCCTAGAGTGCCAGATGGGTGGGGTTTGCAGTTTTACAACTATTCCATTGGTTCCATTGCTAGCTCAATCAAGCCCAGCTAATGTACTTTAAAATATTTAAAATAGCATTTCAATCCAGTTCCACACCTCATTCTGTAAATACCTCATTCTGTATCTACCTCATTCTGTATCTACCTCATGATGTATCTACCTCATTCTGTATCTGCCTCATTCTGCCTCATTTTGTATCTACCTCATTTTAAATCTGCCTCATTCTCTATCTGCCTCATTCTGTATCTGCCTCATTCTGTCTCATTCTGTATCTACCTCATTTTATATCTGCCTCATTCTGTATCTACCTCATTCTGTATCTACCTCATTCTGTATCTACCTCATTCTGTATCTACCTTATTCTGTATCTACCTCATTCTGTATCTACCTCATTCTGTATCTACCTTATTCTGTATCAGCCTCATTCTGTATCTGCCTCATTCTGCCTCATTCTGTATCTGCCTCATTCTGCCTCATTCTGTAACTGCCTCATTCTGTATCTGCCTCATTCTGTATATACCTCATTCTGTATCTACCTCATTCTGTATCTACCTAATTCTGTATCTACCTCATTCTGTATCTGCCTCATTCTGCCTCATTTTGTATCTACCTCATTGTGTATCTACCTCATTATGTATCTACCTCATTCTGTATCTGCCTCATTCTGTATCTACCTTATTCTGTATCTACCTCATTCTGTATCTGCCTCATTCTGCCTCATTCTGTATCTACCTCATTTTAAATCTGCCTCATTCTCTATCTGCCTCATTCTGTATCTACCTCATTCTGTATCTACCTCATTCTGTATCTACCCCATTCTGTATCTACCTAATTCTGTATCTACCTCATTCTGTATCTGCCTCATTCTGCCTCATTTTGTATCTACCTCATTTTAAATCTGCCTCATTCTCTATCTGCCTCATTCTGTATCTGCCTCATTCTGCCTCATTCTGTATCTACCTCATTTTATATCTGCCTCATTCTGTATCTACCTCATTCTGTATCTACCTCATTCTGTATCTACCTCATTCTGTATCTACCTTATTCTCATTCTGTATCTGCCATGTATCATGAGATTTTGAGTGAAAACCTCCTTCCATCAGCAAGGGCATTGAAGATGAGACGTGGCTGGGTCTTTCAGCATGACAATGATCCCAAACACACCGCCCGGGCAACGAAGGAGTGGCTTCGTAAGAAGCATTTCAAGGTCCTGGAGTGGCCTAGCCAGTCTCCAGATCTCAACCCCATAGAAAATCTTTGGAGGGAGTTGAAAGTCCGTGTTGCCCAGCGACAGCCCCAAAACATCACTGCTCTAGAGGAGATCTGCATGGAGGAATGGGCCAAAATACCAGCAACAGTGTGTGAAAACCTTGTGAAGACTTACAGAAAACGTTTGACCTGTGTCATTGCCAACAAAGGGTATATAACAAAGTATTGTGAAACTTTTGTTATTGACCAAATACTTATTTTCCACCATAATTTGCAAATAAATTCATTAAAAATCCTACAATGTGATTTTCTGGGTTTTTGTCTTCTCATTTTGTCTGTCATAGTTGACGTGTAGCTATGATGGAAATTACAGGCCTCTCTCATCTTTTTAAGTGGGAGAACTTGCACAATTAGTGGCTGACTAAATACTTTTTTCCCCCACTGTACCTCATTCTGTATCTACCTTATTCTGTATCAGCCTCATTCTGTATCTGCCTCATTCTGCCTCATTCTGTATCTGCCTCATTCTGTATCTGCCTCATTCTGCCTCATTCTGTATCTGCCTCATTCTGTATCTGCCTCATTCTGTATATACCTCATTCTGTATCTGCCTCATTCTATATCTGACTCATTCTGTATCTACCTCATTCTGTATCTGCCTAATTCTGTATTTGACTAATTCTGCCTCATTTTGTATGTTCCTAATTCTGCCTCATTCTGAATATACGTCATTATGTATCTACCGCATTCTGTATCTACCTCATTCTGTATCTACCTCATTCTGTATCTACCTCATTCTGTATCTACCTCATTCTGTATCAACCTCATTCTGTATCTGCCTCATTCTGTCTCATTATGTATCTGCCTCATTCAAAACTGTTCGCTGCTCTGGCACCCCAATGGTGGAACAAGCTCCCTCACGATGCCAGGACAGCGGAGTCACTCACCACCTTCCGGAGACATTTGAAACCCCACCTCTTTAAGGAATACCTGGGATAGGATAAAGTAATCCTTCCAAAAAAAAAAAAAAATTGTAAAGTGGTTATCCCACTGGCTATAGGGTGAATGCACCAATTTGTAAGTCGCTCTGGATAAGAGCGTCTGCTAAATGACGTAAATGTAAATGTAAATGTACCTCATTATGTATATACATCACACTTTATCTGCCTCATTCTACTTAATTCTGTATCTACCTCATTCTACCACATTCTGTATCTGCCTCATTCTATCTAATTCTGTATCTATCTCATTCTGTATCTACCTCATTATGTATCTACCTCATTATGTATCTGCCTCATTCTACCTCCTTCTGTATCTGCCTCATTCTACCTCCTTCTGTATCTGCCTCATTCTACCTCATTCTGTATCTACCTCGTTCTGTATCTGCCTCATTCTACCTCATTCTGTATCTGCCTCATTCTGTATCTACCTCATTCTGTATCTCCCTCATTCTACCTCATTCTGTATCTGCCTCATTCTGTATCTACCTCATTATGTATCTACCTCATTCTGTATCTACCTCATTATGTATCTACCACATTATGTATCTACTTCATTCTGTATCTACTTCATTCTGTAAATACCTCGTTCTGTATCTTCCTCATTCTACCTCATTCTGTATCTACCTCATTCTGTATCTACCTCATTGTGTATCTGCCTTATTCTACCTCGTTCTGTATCTTCCTCATTCTGCCTCATTCTGTATCTACCTCATTCTGTATCTGCCTCATTCTACCTCATTCTGTATCTGCCTCATTCTGTATCTACCTCATTATGTATCTACCTCATTCTGTATCTACCTCATTATGTATCTACCTCATTATGTATCTACCTCATTATGTATCTACTTCATTATGTATCTACTTCATTCTATATCTGCCTAATTCTGTATCTGCCTCATTCTGTATCTGCCTCATTCTGTATCTGCCTCATTGTTTATCTGCCTCATTGTGTATCTGCCTCATTGTGTATCTACCTCATTCTACCTAATCCTGTATCTATCTCATTCTACCTCAGTCTGTATCTATCTCATTCTACCTCAGTCTGTATCTATCTCATTCTACCTCAGTCTGTATCTACCTCATTCTACCTCAGTCTGTATCTACCTCATTCTACCTAATTCTGTATCTATCTCATTCTACCTCAGTCTGTATCTACCTCATTCTACCTCAGTCTGTATCTACCTCATTCTACCTCAGTCTGTATCTACCTCATTCTACCTCAGTCTGTATCTACCTCATTCTACCTCAGTCTGTATCTACCTCATTCTACCTCAGTCTGTATCTACCTCATTCTACCTCAGTCTGTTTCAATCTCATTCTACCTCAGTCTGTATCTATCTCATTCTACCTCAGTCTGTATCTATCTCAGTCTGTGTCTGCATGCAGAAATGCAACAACTTCACAAAGAGGCAGAACGGATTAGGATTACCTTGTCTGGAGCTGTTGGTGGGAAATGGTAAGGGTTAGGGGTCAGGGTTAGTGTAAATGTACCTTGGTTGGAGGGTTAGTGATAGGGCTAGGGGAAGGGTTAGTGTGACTGTACCTTGATTGGAGCTGTTGGAAAGGAAGCGGTCAGACTTCTTGAGGGTTCTGAAGTGGACCTTCTTGCTGGCCTGACTCTCTCCATACAGACCAATGGACTGGACCTGGATAATGTAGTCTGTCTCCTCGTCCAGATCCCACAGAACACAGGCCCTGCTGGTGGTGTTCACCTCCCTGATGAAGCGCTGGGTGTGGCCCTGCTGTCTCTGAAATATAGGACAGAGATATAGGGTATTCATGTAAATCAAATCCAATTTTAATTGTCACATGATTCGTAAACAACAGTGAAATGCTGACTGACGGGTCATTTTACAACAATGCAGAGTTAAAGATAAAGGAAGAAAATTAACAATAAAAATAGAAATAGTGACACGAGGAATAAATACACTGTGAATAACGAATAACAATAACAAGTAAAAAATAACATGGCTATATACAGGAAGTACCAGGTAATAACATGGCTATATACAGGAAGTACCAGGTAATAACATGGTTATATACAGGAAGTACCAGGTAATAACATGGTTATTTACAGGAAGTACCAGGTAATAACATGGCTATATACAGGAAGTCCCAGGTAATAACATGGTTATATACAGGAAGTCCCAGGTAATAACATGGTTATATACAGGAAGTACCAGGTAATAACATGGTTATATACAGGGAGTACCAGTACTGAGATGATGTGCAGGGGTACCAGGTAATAACATGGCTATATACAGGGAGTACCAGGTAATAACATGGTTATATACAGGGAGTACCAGTACTGAGATGATGTGCAGGGGTACCAGGTAATAACATGGCTATATACAGGGAGTACCAGGTAATAACATGGCTATATACAGGGAGTACCAGGTAATAACATGGCTATATACAGGGAGTACCAGTACTGAGTCAATGTGCAGGAGTACGCGGTAATTGAGGTAGCTATGTACATATAGGTAGGGGTAAAGTGACTAGACAACAGGATAGATAATAGACAGTAGCAGCAGTATACTGTAGGTAGGGGTAAAGTGACTAGACAACATGATAGATAATAGACAGTAGCAGCAGTATACTGTAGGTAGGGGTAAAGTGACTAGGCAACAGGATAGATAATAGACAGTAGCAGCAGTATACTGTAGGTAGGGGTAAAGTGACTAGTCAACAGGATAGATAATAGACAGTAGCAGCAGTATACCGTAGGTAGGGGTAAAGTGACTAGACAACAGGATAGATAATAGACTGTGCTGTAGCGTATGTCAAAGTCCGTCTGTGTTTTTTTATTTTTTATTATTTAACCAGGCAAGTCAGTTAAGAACAAATTCTTATTTACAATGACGGCCTACCCCGGCCACGACGCTGGGCCAATTGTGCGCCGCCCTATGGGACTCCCAATCACGGCCGGTTGTGATACAGCCTGGAATCGAACCAGGGAGTCTGTAGTGACGCCTCAAGCACTGAGATGCAGTGCCTTAGACCGCTGCGCCACTCGGTCTGTAGTGACGCCTCAAGCACTGAGATGCAGTGCCTTAGACCGCTGCGCCACTCGGGAGTGTGTGTGTGTGTGAGAGTGTCGTCTGTATTCATGTGTGCGCACGTTATGTGTGTGTGGGCGTATGTAGTGTAGATGTGTGTGTTGGGGTGTCAGTGTAAGTATGTGCCAGCGTGTGTGCATAGAGTCAGTGCAAGAGAGTGAGTTCAAAAAAGGGTAAATGCAGGTAGTCTGGGTAGCCATTTGATTAGCTATTTAGCAGTCTTGTTTAGCTGTTCAGGGTCCTGCTGGTTGGTACACTGGTACCGTTTGCCGTGTGGTAGCAGAGACAACTGTCTATGGCTTGGGTGGCTGGAGTCTTTGACAATTATTTAGCCCTTCCTCTGACACCGCCTGGTATAGAGGTCCTGGATGGCAGGGAGCTCGGCCTTCCTCTGACACCGCCTGGTATAGTGGTCCTGGATGGCAGGGAGCTTGGCCTTCCTCTGACACCACCTGGTATAGTGGTCCTGGATGGCAGGGAGCTCGGCCTTCCTCTGACACTGCCTGGTATAGAGGTCCTGGATGGTAGGGAGCTCGGCCCCAGTGATGTACTGGGCCGTACTCACCACCCTCTGTAGCACCTTGCGGTCGGGTGCCTTGCAGTTGCCGTAACAAGGCGGTGATGCAGCCAGTCAAGATACTCTCAGTCAAGCTGTAGAACTTTTTGAGGATCTGAGGGCCCATGTCAAATATTTTCAGCCTCCTGAGGGGGAAGAGGTGCTGTCTTGCCCTCTTCACAACTATGTGGGTGTGTGTGGACCTTGTTAATTCCTTAGTGATGTAGACACAGAGGAACTTGAAGATCTCGACCCGCTCCACTACAGCCCCATCGATGTGGATGGGGGCGTGCTTGCCCCTCCGTTTCCTGTAGTTCAATATCAGATTTGTCTTTTTGACGTTGAGGGAGAGGCTGATGTTCTGGCACCACACTGCCAGGTCTCTGACTTCCTCCCTAGAGGCTGACTCATTGTCATCGGTGATCAGGCCTACCACCGTTGTGTATTCAGCAAACTTGATGATGGTGTTGGAGTCGTGCACGGCACCCAGTCTTACAGCCCTGTGGGGCCCTCGAGTTGATGGTCAGCGTGGCAGATGTGTTGTTGCCTACCCTCACCGCCTGGGGGCGGCCCGTCAGGAAGTCCTGGATCCAGTTGCAAAGGGAGGTGTTTAGTCCCAGGGTCCTGAGCTTGGTGATGAGCTTGGAAGGGACTATACTGTTGAATGCTGAGCTGTAGTCAATGAACAGCATTCTTGCATAGGTATTCCTTTTGTCCAGGGCAGTGTTAAGTGTGATAGAGATAGTATCATCTGTGGAACTGTTGGGGAGGTATGCGAATTGGAGTGGGTCCAGGGTGTCTGGGATGATGCTGTTGATGTGAGCCGTGACCAGCCTTTCAAAGGATTTTATGGCTATAGATGTGAGCGCTATGGGGCGATAGTCATTTAAACAAGTTACCTTGGCTTTCGTGGGCATGGGGACTATGGTGGTCTGCTTGAAACAAGTTGGTATTACAGACCGTGTCAGGAATAGTTTGAAAATGGATGTGAAGACACTTGCCAGCTGGTCAGTGCATGCTCTGAGTACGCATCCTGGTTTCCATTTTGCCTGCGACCTTGCGAATGTTAACCTGTTTAAAGCTCTTACTCACAATGGCTACGGAGAGCGAGATCACACAACTGGTGCTCTCATGCATGGTTCAGTGTTGCTTGCCTCGAAGCGAGCATAGAAGGCATTTAGCTCGTCTGGTAGGCACGCGTCGCTGGGCAGCTCGCAGCTGTGTTTCCCTTTGTAATCCGTGATAGTTTGCAAGCCCTGCTACATCCATCGAGCGTCAGAGCCGGCGTAGTATGATTCGATCTTAGTCCTATATTGACGCTTTGCCTGTTTGATGTCTCGTCGGAGGTCCTAGCGGGATTTCTTATAAGTGTCCGGATTAGCGTCCTGCTCCTTGAAAGCAGCAGCTCTAGCCTTTAGCTCAGTGCGGATGCTGCCTGTAATCCATGGCTTCTGGTTGGGGTACGTACATACAGTCACTCTGGGGACGACGTCGTCGATGTACTTATTAATGAAATAGATCACTGATGTGGGAAACTCCTCAATGCTATCGGTGGAATCCCAGAACATATTCCAATCTGTGCTAGCAAAACAGTCCTGTAGTTTGAATCCGCTTCATCGGACCACTTCCGTATTGAGCATGTCACTGGTACTTCCTGTTTGAGTTTCTGCTTCTAAGCAGGAAGCAGGAGGATAGAGTTATGGTCTGATTTGTCAAAGGGAGGGCGAGGGAGGGCTGTGTATGCATTTCTGTGTGTGGAATAAAGGTGATCTAGAGATTTGTCACCTCTGGTGGCACAGGTGACGTGCTGGTAAAAATGAGGTGAAATAGATTTCAGTTTCCCTGCATTAAAATCACCGGCCACGAGAAACGCCGCCTTTCAATGTGCATTTTCTTGTTTTCTTATGGCCCAATACAGCTGGTTGAGTGCGGTCTTAGTGCCAGCATCGGGTTGTTGTGGTAAATAGACAGCTACGAAAAATATAGATGAAAACTGATATTAAGGGGTATTGTATGTAGGCCAGTGACCAAAAAATCTACATTTAATCCATTTCAAATTCAGGCTGTAACACAGCAAAATGTAGAAAAATCAAGAGGTGTGAATACTTTCTAAAGCACTGTATATGGCTGGATGGAGGGTTGATGCCACAGCACACAGGCCATACTGGTGGTGTTCATCTCCCTGATGAAGGGTTAGGTTTGGCCCTGCTGCTTCTGAGCTATAGAACAGAGTTATAGGATATTTATTATTATATATTATAAAAACAAAGGGCCCTAACCCTACCTCTGAGGTAGGACAGAGCTCAAATCAAATCAACGTTTATCTGTCGCGGACACAGTTTATCAGATGTTATAGCGGGTGCAGCGAAATGCTTGTGTTAGTAGCTCCTAACAGTGTGTCACATATACACCGGGAATCAGGAAGCAGGTGCAGAAGGTGAGTTTAATAATGAAGAATGCAGATAAACAAAACATGAGAAGCGTACAGAACGTGAATGAAAACAAACCAATACTGCCTGATGACTGAGGCTACTGAGGGCTAAATAAAGGGAAGGTCATCAAGGTGATGGTGAAGTCCAGGTGTGGGTAATGATGGAGAGCAGGTGTGTGTAATGATGGAGAGCAGGTGTGTGTAATGATGGAGAGCAGGTGTGTGTAATGATGGAGAGCAGGTGTGTGTAATGATGGGGAACAGGTGTGTGTAATGATGGGGAACAGGTGTGTGTAATGATGGAGACCAGGTGTGTGTAATGATGGAGACCAGGTGTGGGTAATGATGGGGAACAGGTGTGTGTAATGATGGTTACCAGGTGTGTGTAATGATGGAGACCAGGTGTGGGTAATGATGGGGAACAGGTGTGTGTAATGATGGGGAACAGGTGTGTGTAATGATGGAGAGCAGGTGTGTGTAATGATGGAGAGCAGGTGTGTGTAATGATGGAGAGCAGGTGTGTGTAATGATGGGGAACAGGTGTGTGTAATGATGGAGACCAGGTGTGGGTAATGATGGGGAACAGGTGTGTGTAATGATGGAGACCAGGTGTGTGTAATGATGGGGAACAGGTGTGTGTAATGATGGGGAACAGGTGTGTGTAATGATGGAGACCAGGTGTGTGTAATGATGGAGACCAGGTGTGGGTAATGATGGGGAACAGGTGTGTGTAATGATGGGGAACATGTGTGTGTAATGATGGAGACCAGGTGTGGGTAATGATGGGGAGCAGGTGTGTGTAATGATGGGGAACATGTGTGTGTAATGATGGAGACCAGGTGTGGGTAATGATGGGGAGCAGGTGTGTGTAATGATGGTTGCCAGGTGTGGGTAATGATGGGGAGCAGGTGTGGGTAATGAAGATTGCCAGTGGTTAGTAGAACGGCGACGTCTAGTGCTGGAGCTGGGGACTAGGCGTGACACAGTGCAGTAAAAATGGAAACAAGAAATCAGGTATAAATGAGTATAAAATATATACAAAATATATATTGGGTATAAATGAGTATAAAATATATAAATATATATATATATATCGGGTATAAATGGGTTTAAAATATATCAGTATAAAATATATCAAAATATATATCATGTATAAACTGGTATAAAATATATGAGTATTAAATATACATAAAAATTATATTGGTTATAAAATATATGAGTATAAAATATTTAAAAAATATATATATATATTGGGTATAACAAAGATATAGGGTATACATGGATTTATTGGGAATAAAGTTTTGAGTTGAAGAGTTGAGTTGAGTGAAAATGATGCCTCAGACTTTTCTCAGAAACAGCTTGAAATTGGTTGGTGTGACCTTGAAAATGTAAATTAGACTCCCAGAATCCAAAATGCATGCCCTGTCCAACTCCCTGCTCTCTTTCTGCCCTCCCTGCTCCCTACTCGGCTTTGGACCAGATGTCTTGCGTTCACTGGTTTTATTGCCGAGCCTAACAGAGGACAGAGCAATCTGGCCACCCCTCAGAGCCTGGATCCTCTCTAGGTTTTCTTCCTAGGTTCCTGGCTTTCTAGGGAGTTTTTCCCTAGCCACCGTGCTTCTACATCTGCATTGCTTGCTGTTTGGGGTTTTAGGCTGGGTTTCTGTATACGCACTTTGTGACATCTGCTGATGTAAAAAGGCCTTTATAAATACGTTTGATTTGAATTTGATTTGATAAAGGAACTCTACATTTACATTTTATTTAGCAGACGCTCTTATCCAGAGCGACTTACAGGAGCATTTAGGGTTAAGTGCCTTGCTCAAGGGCACATCTCTACAGCTATTTTAAACAATGAATAATGCACACACACCAACCAATTACAAGAGATGTTCCTGAGATGAGTTCTATAATGAAAAGCCCATAGCTGTTTAGTTGTCACACAGAGCTCACTTGCTACATAATTCATTGGAATTCTATAAAACCTAAACAGGCAGGAGGCTGTGTATATCCCTTTTTTCAAAATCAGCATGCCTAGGTAGTTTCACTATTCTAACAGAGATGGGAAGTGGCTCTATGACAAAAGCGATTAAAACAGGCGATACAGGACAACCTTGTCTGGTTCCACGCTTTAACGAAAATGACGGTGATTTAATGCCGTTTGTATTAGACTGAAGGTGAGGTGTATAAGGGCCGGTTTTCCGAACACAAATAAATCCTGGACTAAAAAGTGCTGCAATGGAGAATCTCTTAGATCTCTTAACGTTTTAGTCCAGGACTAGGATTAATCTGTATCTGGGAAACCAGCCCTAAAGGACTCTACACACTATACGCAAACAGAGCGACTGCGCATCGCATATGGTCCGTTCCTAAAAATTCAGCCACACAAAAGTACACAGAACTACGCAAACGGACATCCGTCGCTCCGTTTGCTTAGATTATGTATAGCCCTTAAGAATTTTACTCATGGCATATAGTTGTAACCATCCTCAGCGGGGGAAACAACTAGATGCATTCAGTTTTGAGGGAGATGGAAGAGAACATGTGACTTCCACATTTGGATGTTTACCAGTATTTCTGTTTTTTTCTCGTCAGGAACTGAAAGAAGGAAACGCATCTCAGGCATTTATTTTACGTTAGGTTAGGTTGGAACCAAAAATACATTTATCCAATGTTGCAAACTCACATGCTACATCATTCATTGGAAGTACATAAAGTTAAACAAGTATGAGGGTGTTATTTTCCTAATATGCACAGAGTGTGGATAGAGATCAGTATTCATAGGTAGTTCCACTTTTCTAAGCATTCTAAGCATTCTAAGCATTCTAAGCATTCTAAGCATTCTCAAAGCTAATCAACCAGAAAATTGCTCTCTGGCAGCTGAGGATATTAACCCTGGAACCGTATATTTCTTCACAAATCAAACATGGTGAGCTTTATTTTAGATTCTTAGTTTGGGGGGCCTTGGGGGGAGTCAAACTTTCCTTCATGGTAATTTATATTAGCATGTGAACCAAGCCTTTCGGTAATGCTGAGAAAACCAAACAGTGGAAAATTAAAGGCCAGGCTTACAGACATCTTTATTCACCACATCAGACATTTGGAGCCAAGTGTTGGAGCCAAGTGCCTAAACAGGCTATACAATATGTCCAGAACTGTGCTGCACATGTCCTCACCCACACCTCTCCCCCGCGTGCACATCACTCCAGGACTGTTCAACCTCCAATGGCTCCCCATATGCTCACGCATCAGGTACAGAATCCTGGTTCACACCTACCAAGCTATCCACAACTCTGGACCCCAAGTACCTGTCTGACCTCATTCTACCCTCCCCTCCTGCCCCACACGCACACTTCACTCATCCAGGCCCATCTCCCTTCAGCAGCCCCGCAGCTGACTAAAAACTATGGGCGACAGGGCTTTCAGTTGTGCGTCTCCGTGGCTGTGGAACGCACTCCCAGACACTGTTAGGGCTGCAGAGTCTCTGTCCTCCTTTTAAGGCACAGCTCAAGACCTTGCTGTTCAGAAAACCTTTCATGGACCTCTGCAAATTCTGTTCTCATGTCCTCCAGATTTGACGACACCTGTATATAGCTTTGATTGTTGTCTGTGTTCTACAGTGCATTCAGAAAGTATTCAGACCCCTTGACTTCCTCCACAATTTGTTATGTTACAGCCTCATTCTAAAATGGATTAAATAGTTTCCCCCCCCCCCCCCATCAATCTACACACAATAACCCATAATTACAAAGCAAACACAGGGTTTTAGAAATGTTTGCTAATTTATAAAAATAAAATAAAAATATCACATTTACAGAAGTATTCAGACCTTTTACTCATTACTTTGTTGAAACACCTTTGGCAGCGATTACAGCCTCGATCATTCTTGGGTATGACGCTACAAGCTTGGCACACCTGTATTTGGGGAGTTTCTCCCAATCTTCTCTGCAGATCATCTCAAACTCTGTCAGGTTGGATGGGGAGCGTCGCTGCACAGCTATTTTCAGGTCTCTCCAGAGATGTTTGATCGGGTTCATGTCCGGGCTCTGGCTGGGCCACTCAAGGACATTCAGAGACTTGTCCCGAAGCCACTCCTGTGTTGTCTTGGCTGTGTGCTTAGGATCATTGTCCTGTTGGAAGGTGAACCTTCGCCCCAGTCTGAGGTCCTGAGCGCTCTGGAGCAGGTTTTCATCAAGGATCTTGCTGTACTTCGCTCCGTTCATCTTTCCCTCGATCCTGACTAGTCTCCCAGTCCCCGTCGCTGAAAAACATCCCCACAGCATGATGCTGCAACCACCATGCTTCACCGTAGGGATGGTGCCAGGTTTCCTCCAGATGTGACACTTGGCATTCAGGCCAAAGAGTTCAATCGTGGTTTCATCACACCAGAGAATCTTGTTTCTCATGGTCTGAGAGTCCTTTAGGTGCCTTTTGGCAAACTCCAAGTGGGCTGTCATGTGCCTTTTACTGAGGAGTGGCTTCCGTCTGGCCACTCTACCATAAAGGCCTTATTGGTGGAGTGCTGCAGAGATGGTTGTCCTTCTGGAAGGTTCTACCATTTCCACAGAAGAACTCTGGAGCTCTGTCAGAGTGACCATTGGGTTTTTGGTCACCTCCCTGACCAAGGCCCTTTTCCCCAGTTTGGCCGGGCGGCCAGCTCTAGGAAGAGTGTTGGTGGTTCCAAACTTCTTCCATTTAAGAAGGATGGAGGCCACTGTGTTCTTGGGGACCTTCAATGCTGTAGAAATTATTTGGTACCCTTCCCCAGATCCATGCCTCGACACAATCCTGTCTTGGAGCTCTATGTACAATTATTTCGACCTTATGGCTTGTTTTTTGCTCTGACATGCACTGTCAACTGTGGGACCTTATATAGACAGGTGTGTGCCTTTCCAAATCATGTCCAATCAATTGAATTTACCACAGGTGGACTCCAATCAAGTTGCAGAAACATCTCAAGGATGATCAATGGAAACAAGATGCATTTGAGCTAAATTTCGAGTCTCATAGAAAAGGGTCAGAATACTTATGTAAATAAGGTATTTATGTTTTAGTTTTTTTATAAATTAGCAAACATTTCTAAAATTCTGTTTTCGCTTTGTCATTATGGGGTATTGTGTGTAGATAGCTGAGGAAAATAAATATTTAAAGCAATTTTAGAAAAAGGCTTATGACGTATTAAAATGTGGAAAGGGAAAGGGGTCTGAATTCTTTCCGAATGCACTGTATGTTCTGTGTTTTAGATTGTTTAAATTATTATTATTATTATTATTATTATTATTATTATTATTATTTAGCACAGTATCAGATATTTAACACATCAGATATTTAGCACATTACCAGTATTCACTCAGCAAACAAAACCTCTACAACAATAACATTTACTGAATAAACACATTTACAGTGGAATTCACTCAGAACACTAACCCTATACCAAGATGTCATACACCCATTACATTTGTATATTTTGTTAACAGGAATGTAATCTCTGGTGGACAGTCTATGTCAACATAAATGGTACTGTTGATCTGTCACAATACAAAGGGATGCGTGAGATAATAAGCAGCATTATTTCTGGTTATTTGGACAAATCACGATTTCAACAGGTGTTAGTATCTTTCGAATTTCGGAAGGGGAGGGCCATAGACTCGCCAATAACTTGCAAAGAGATGGGGGCGGAGCTCTTCGTTCTGGTTCCAATCCTCATTCTATCTCTTCTCTTAACATGTTTGGACCCAGAACTTAATCTAGCATTTGACCAATTACGCAATACTTTATTTCTGGGTTAACTGAGATGAACAGGAATGAAAGGAGACAATAATTGTAGGTGAGTAGTTAGGGTACATAATAACCCTAGAACACATCACCTGCTGTGATATGGAGAAGCCGATGACGACGTCACCCTCAGGTACCTCCCAGGAGACGGTGGCGGAGTCGGCCCTCAGGTGCATCACGGACACGTTCACGGGAGCAGGAGGGCGGTCTGAGGAGAGAGAGAAACAAGGCCATCTCAGGGGTGAGTAACAAGTCTCTCAAACTGAACGGATTCAATCATTTGTATCGAAGGTGGTGAACCATCGGCCTCCTGTGCACTACAATAATATATTTGGCTGCTTAGCTTCAGAATGTGTTAGGCCGCTTAGCTTCAGAATTTGTTAGACCACTTAGCTTCAGAATGTGTTAGGCCGCTTAGCTTCAGAATGTGTTAGACCGTTTAGCTTCAGAATGTGTTAGGCCGCTTAGCTTTAGAATGTGTTAGACAGCTTAGCTTCAGAATATGTTAGACCGTTTAGCTTCAGAATGTGTTAGGCCGTGTAGTATCTTAAACAGTCTACAAATGCTGATTGTTGCAGGAAAGTGTGATAGAGGGAACTTGGCCCTAAGATTTTGCTGATGTGGCAAAATGAGGTAACTCTATTCTACTGTGCTGGAAAACATCTGGAAAGCATTACTAAATTCCTGGAAAAGAGGATATGTAATGGCCTGGGATTGGTTTTTTTAGAATCACACCATAATACGTCACAAAGGATATAAAACCATGTCTGAACAATAGAATAGGAAGAATAGCTAATCAGATTGGCTCGGGCTGTTTTCCAGACATCTGCAGGAGTCTGTCAAATTCTGATGCTGGAACCTTTGTTATAATAAACCTTTGAAAACAGAGTACAGTGTCGGCGGATCTTCCTTATCATTACAGCATGGACCAGCAAAAGTGTTTCTTTTAGTAACCACATTTAATGGCGACGAGGTAGTTTTATTTTATTTTTTATTCTTTTTGGGACGTGTTATGTCTTTTCTTTGCATTCCATTCCTGGGCTACAAAACGACTACCTCTCAGGAAGCCGGCAACTAAGGGTGAGTTTTTTATCACTAAATCATTGGGCGTTGGTCGTTTTGTGAGTCCAGAGTGTGTGCGTTCAAGATGTACCGTTAAAATTACTTATGCGTGCATTTTGCTGGTTCTTTTTGCTGTGTGATAGGAATTCCGTTCTAAATTTTCTAAATTAGTTTGAGTGTCTGTAGGACACACCGACAGGA